GGATTGGTTCCAGGATCTCCCGCAGGTACCAAAAACCTCAGATGATCAAGTCCCTGATATAAAAAGGTGTAGTATTTGCATATAACCTATGTATATTCACCCACATACCTTAAATCATTTATAGATTACTTATAATACCTAATACAATGTAAATGCTGCGTAAATAGTTTTATTCTGTATGGCTGAGGGAATAATAACAAGGAAAAAAATCTGTACATATTCAATACAGACACAATTTTTTTTCCCAAATATTTTTGATCCGAGGCTGGTTGAATCCATAGATGCAGAACCCATGGATATGGAGGGCCAACTGTATTTGTTGACCAGGACTGAAATCCAATTTCTTAATGATGTGACCCTCTTCCTATTTAATTTGCCATTTGTGATCATTAGCATCCAAGGGTCTAGAACCCTAAAAATACTTACATTAGTTAGCCTCGCACTGGCATGGATAGTGGCAGGAAAAGGGGTCTGTGTGTATGTTTTTTCAACGGCTTTTTGTACTGTCTAGTGCTCAATAAATGTACTTTGAACTAAAACTTCTTCCAAAGGGCTTTGCCAAATAAAGTATATACCTGAAGATATATTTCATGTTCTACCAAATTAATCACAAATAGCTGCTATAGTCTGAATGTTTGTGCCCCTCCCCCAAATTCATATGTTGAAGCCCTACACCCCAATGTGGTAGTATTTGGAGATGGGGCCTTTAGGAGATAATTAGGGTTAGATGAGGTCATGAGGGTGGGGCCCTATCTGATAGGATTAATGCCCTTAAAAGAAGAGACATAAGAGAGTTTATTCTCTGCCCCAGACCCCTGAAAGCAGAGTTCATGTGAGTGCATAGTAAGAAGGCAGCCATCTGCAAGCCAGGAAGAGAGCCTTTACTAGAACCCAACCATGCTGGCACTCTGATCTCAGACTTCCAGCCTTCATAGCTGCGAAAAAATAAATTTCTGTTGTTTAAGACACTCAGTCTATGGTATTTTGTTTATGGCAGCTTGAGCTGAGTAAGACATAGTCTAAAACCAAAACCTCAAATACTGAATTCCCAAGGCTTTGATTATGGGCAGTGGTGAAAGCATAAAGTAAAAAATCTTTTGGAAAAAAAATTATTTTAGTTTAAATAGTTAATAAAAGAAAAGATGNGGCGGGAGCGCCACTGCGCTCCCAAGCGGCGCACTGTAGCAGTGCGCCATCGGGCCGGCCCGATAGGTTTGATTTTCTAATAGTCCCTGATTATCTGAAGAATCACCTGTTAAATAAGCAACAACCTACTAGGTTGAGAACAGAAGATTCAACACATTTTCAGCCCCAGCTTAAAGAGGAGTCCAGTACCAGAGGGTCTTCCTTCACTTTGAGTTTTTTAAAATAGAGGAAGCCAAATTGTGGCTTGATCTATTACTATAGTAAGTCTGAGACAGTATTGGGGGATAAAACGGGTTATTTAGGAGATGAAAATCTGGTTTTATTTTTTCTCAAAAAAGTTTTTTACAAGCCAACCTAAAATTTCATGGGAAAACAAAACATAAAAATGTCATACTTCCCAGAGATTCTGCCACATCCCATATAGTAACAGGCTTTATCATGAAAAGAAGATTTAGGCACTATATTCTTTTTTTTTTTGTCTTTTTCCGTGTCCGGCAACGGGATCGCAACCCTCGGTGTTGCTCCCGCACCTCGCTCAGCCAGTGAGCGGGAACCGGTCCGTATGTGGGATCCGAACCCTCGGGCGGGAGCGCCGCCGCGCTTCCCAAGCGGCGCACTATCCAGTGCACCACCGGGCTGGCCCCTAGGCACTATATTCTATAAACCCTCCCCAACCAAGATTTTTCTCAAGCCTTACTTTTCCTAATCTGGATTATGAAGAAAATAGGTACTTTTTCATCTTCCAAATATAAAATTTTATAACACGCACACCCTGTCCTATTAAATGACATTGCTATTAATACAGTTGTCCCTCTGCATCCATGGCGGATTGGTTCCAGGATCTCCCGCAGGTACCAAAAACCTCAGATGATCAAGTCCCTGATATA